ACGCAAACAGCGTGCGATGGAAGCAGCCGCAAGCTCGTCGCAAGCCGGGCGGACCGCGAGACACGGAACTGGGCCCAGACCCAACTGGGAAGCAGCGGAAAGGCAGACATAACTGTGGTTCCTGAAGGTAAACCAGAAGCTGCCCACATCAAGACTAAAAGCGCACTCATGTTAGACCGGGACTATAAGCAGGTCTTTCTTTCGGTGGCTCAGTCAGGTGAGGGCAGAGAGTTGAGCCATCCTTTCAGGGGAGGGGGGGGAAAGCCTTCCTTTAATTAAGCTATTTAATTGTCATGATTCATAGAAGCTCAAGTACATTAGTGGCGTTTGACCAATTTTTAGAATATCATTACAAGTCCGCAAAGCAGCCTACTGAGCTGATTGCCCGTGCATGTGGGAGGCACAATTTAGCAGGAATGTGGGATGGGGGGGGGGTGGGGGGGTGGCGGCTGTGTAATGAAACACGGCAGCTCATAATTACCTGGGCCAGGAGAGCCCACGTCCACTACCCAGATTGTATCGGAATCTTGTTTTCATTTCTGTCTCCGTTCAGGCTGGGAGAAATTAGCCAATTCTGAACCACAATTTATATTTCGTGTTTCTCTGTGGAGATGGGGGCAGGACTCCGTCCTTTGAAATGGTCACTGCCGCCCACCTGGAAATGGGCTGTGAAGCAGGACTGGGGCCGCACCTCCCACGGCGCCAGGGACAGGAGGTGAGGAACCGGGAGGATGGTCGGGAACGGCACGTCTCAGTGCCGACCACCGCGAGGCCTCTGCCCGGCGCAACGTCCTGGGAAAAAGAAGGAAAAAACTTCTGCAATTTTCTTGCGGTTCAATAAAGTTGTCAGATTTGCACAGATGGAGTGTAACGTCTTTTCTGGGCAAACCGGAGGTATTTTGGAAAAACAGAGAGTTAATAAAGATTCATATATTCGTGACTTTTTTTGTTTTCAAATATTGACCTTGGAGATGTGGGAACGTCACAGTCACATTCCACTGACCACTGTACTATGAGTATCTCACTCACACACACACACACACACACACACACACGTACACACATGTGAACACACACAGGCACAAGCTGGCTGGCTCTCTGATGCTGAGGTGGGCGGAGGAAGGCCTGTGAACCTCTTTAATTCCAGCCTGTTTGTATGTCTGCGGGATAAACGTGTAAATGGCAGCCGGAGCAGGTGGCCACTTCATCTGGTGTGCAGCTGCAGGTTTATGACTCATTTCTACCTTGACCTGGCACTACAAAACTCACACACACAGACTGTTCCTCATCGCCCCCCCCCCACCACCACCACCCCCCTGGGGCTCATAAGTTGTTCACCATCCCTCCTCCTGCCGCTTCGAAAACCTCACGTCACTGAAGTCGGAGATCTGGCGCATCCACACTCTGCCCCAGAGACGAAACCCCAGCCGGCCAGGTTAGCTGACGATCTCAGCCGTCCATGTGAGGCCTGTCCTGTCCCCATGAAGGCAGTTGGTGGATCGGGAGGACAAATGTAGGCTCAGATATAACAATTTCCTGTCACCTTCTCTCAGCTAATACAGCCACCCTGTGATTTAAAAAAATGGTCATTATTCACAGTGGAGTGGAAACTACTTCAAAAAAAAAGTTAAACATTTAGTCTGGCCCACATCTCAATGTCACTTGGTAATTACAGGTCATAGGCATCGTTAAATAAGACTAAAGACTGTTTGCACTTTTGTCTCCTTCTAGGAGCAGACGCCGTTACCACAGCAACGCTGAGGAATGGAACTCACCATCAAGTCATCCTGTTCTTAAAGCTTGCCCATTGGTGTGGATGCCCGGCACGACATGGTCCAAGGAGATGCAGCTGGCGGAGGACACGGACGTAGGCGTCTCAACGGGTGCAGATACAGGTATGAACGTCGTGATGGGAGCAGACATGGCCGTGGGTCCCGACTTCATGGGGGGAGTGGCCATCTGCCATGGGCTTGTTTTCCTGGTCTGGGGATGGCAGTGGGGCTGTCCAACAAAAAGATGAACCACAGCCCCAAACATGAGAAGAATGTGGCGAGCCATGCTGAGCTAACCAAAACCACTGCAGGATCCCTGTGCTGGGGCCATAGAGCTTGCACTATTTTTCCTGAACATTCTGGAACATTGGTGTGAACTTCCATTGTTACATTGTGAGCAAAGTGTCAATCACCACTTAGTTTCAGCAAATACAGGCCAAAGGCAAGCAATGGAAATCAGTGTAAACCTGTCAGTCTCATTCTCAGCACCTACTCAACACCTACCACCACCGCAAGAGGGACAGGGCATCAACATGGGAGGCGGTAACAGCAAAGTGGATTTTCCCCACACTACCTTGCAAATGGCGACACAGGATGTGATCTTGATGAGAACCTGTGAAGGGCTACAGAGGAACAGAGAGGTCTCCAGTGACTCCATCACAGTGTGGTCTGATGTGTGCATTTCTGTGTTTACATTGACTTGAGTTGCTTTATAACAATTCCTGTATACCAGTAAGTTTCCGTTAAAGTCCTTGGAATTGTTTACACAAAGAAATGACTCATCTACTCGTGTACGTTTTCCTGTGTATGATTTTGTGTTTGAGTTTGAAAGTCAACGTGTTATTTTTCATTTTGCTTCAATCACCGAGAATTCAAAATACAGTATGTTTACAGAATGTTTTAGTGAAATTACCTTCCTTAACGCAGTACATGCATTTAACTCAGTTAGGCAATAGAATCGGCTAGATTCTGCTCTGACTAGTCTGTGACTGTGCTTGAGAGTCTCACACTCCAAGAACACCTTGACCATGTACTAAAAATGTATCATTTGCAAAGTGGGCCCAGGCCTGCTGGTACCCCTGACTAGGTGTTCAGTTTGCATAAGATGATGACCATTAGGGTCGGGATGGGACCCACATGTGTCATTTATCATTCTTACAGTACCAGTCAAAATTTTGGACACACCTATCAACAGAATTTGTTTATTTGTACCATTCTCTACAGTTTAGAATAATTGTATAAAATAACTATAAAATAACATATATGGAGTTATGCACTAACCTTATAAATATGTATTACTATATATATATATATATATATATATATTTTTTTTTTTTTTTTTCATTCTTCATTCTTACCTTTTCCATCATCATTTCAAATACTGCTTTGGTCACGGTTTTCATTATGTATCAGCACTGCCACTTTGTATCAACAATTCTGTGCTGGATTTACACAGTAGGCCAATGTTTTATTTAATCTTTTATTGAATTCAAGAAACACGCAAACATACATTCATTACATAAATGAACACCAACCACAGTCACCAAGTCATTCATTTAAAGACGTATTCTGGTTCTGCATCGGCAGAAGATGTGGACTCTTTTTAAAAGTGAACATTGGTTTCACGCAGATGTGTTTTGTTATTTCTGATTAACAACCTTGTCTTTGACCGAGTAAAGATTCATGGTGCCCTCAAGGCAGACAGGAGGAGTGCGAGGAGATGTGGAGCACATGCAAAGCCATGCAGGCATTACAGGACATGGGGAAGCATTTTACTGAGACACACCAGGAGGAGCAGCTGTCCATGGCACGGGGAAGCATTTTAGCGTGACACACCGGGAGCAGCAGCTGTCCACGCTTTGTGCAGTCGGCCCGGAGCGTCAGCAGCCTTATGGGAAACAGAGCCAGCATCTCCAAGACAGCACCGCTCTGATGTCATTTCTCTTTTGTGCATTTGCATTTTGCTTGTTTGTTCCTTCTTCTGGCTTTGATGGGATCATTTACTGGTGTGGCTCTGTGCTTTGATGCTGTGTGCTTGGGACTGTGCCATACATCAATAATCTCAGAGCTGACGGCATGGCCTGCCAGGAAGAACGCAAGGCGCAGAGCCACGTGTGCCAAAGGAATGGAACAATGATCGTACAGCACATCTGTGTTCCTGTAAGCCAAGGGGGAGGAGCTGCACTTGGGTTAGCATGGCTCTCTCCCTATGGCTGACTGAATGCATTCATTACTTGGGCACCTGCACTGAGCTGAAAGACTTGCTTTAACTGACTGGTATGTTCTTCGGCACCATCATGTGATCACTGGTATACAATATGCTCACTAGCACCATCATGTGATCACTGGTACACAGTATGTTCTTCGGCACCATCATGTGATCACTGGAACTTAGTAAGCATTATGAAATATTTGAATATTTGATGTGTATGAAGTAGAAAAAAACATAAAACTGAATAATAGTGTAACAATAGTATTTGGTGGCAATATAATTACTTGTGATTTAACTGTCTCTAATAAATCTGCTGTTCATTCATTTTGAAATTTTCCTCCGCTGTTTTTGCACGAGCTCTGCATGTGCCAGTCATACTCATTTTCATCCTTGCTCACTCACAGTGAGGTGCATTCTTGAGAAACGTAACAAAAATGAACGAAGTGAACAAGCAAACAATAACTGATCAGCAGAAGACATTCGTCTTTCACTGTATGGAAATATTTAGGATTCCACGGAGACTATATTGAACAAAAGCAAGTGATTTGTCAGCACTGCTTTGTGTCATAGGGCACGACTCATGACAACAAGTGTAAGAATCTGATTATCTGATCTGCTGCTGTTAACTTTATATGAACATTTAGGTTGTCATGGTTGCCATTAAAAATGCTCTTGAAATTTGTGTTCTGTTAAATATGTTCGTAATAAAATTTGAGTGAATTGTCAGTGTACCAGTAGTGACTTTTTGGTAAAGTTAACTGAATGTGAATTACTAAATTTCCTTTCCTAGTAAAGACCGGCTCTATTGTTAGATAACAACAAACTGTATTTGGCTAAAGCTTATTATGAGTAAATTCTCTGCTCCTTTTTTGCTTCATAAATACTGTAATATTTATTGTGAAGACTTCAAATATCTCAATGAGAGTTTGTCCAATATTCAGCTCTAGTTTCAAGGCTTCAAAAAAAAGATAAAGATGCTTTATTGTCATTGTACAAGTACAATGAGATTTCGTTAAAGGTACTGCTGGCATTTGAACCCAGGATCTCCCGTTTACTAAACAAGCACTCTAACCAACTAAGCCACAGCACCAGGAGTTAACTTTTTACAGTAATATCTGGAAATATGGAATATGGCAGCGTGTGGCTCAGTGGGCTAAGCCGTGTGCCTGTAATCACAAGGTCGCCGGTTCAAGCCCAGCCTCAGCACGTCTGCGGGTCCTTGAGCAAGACCCTCAATCCCCAGCTCCCTGGGTGCCGCTACGGGTGGCTGCCCTTCGCGGACAACTTGCTCTACAAAGAGCTACAGGTGGCTGCCCTTCGCGGACAGCTTGCTCTACAAAGAACAAGTTGAGGGAGGCATAAAAACAATTTCCCCACGGGGATTAATAAAAGTGTCAATTATTATAAATAAATAAATTTTGACCCATATTTCATACAGATTCTCCATGTGTGAGGTGGGGGCAGGGTTAATCAATTATTATTCGAATACTGACTGAATTCACTGGCACCATCATATGATCACTGGTACATTAAATGTTCACCAGCATCATCATGTGATCACTGGCACACAGCATGTTCACCAGCACCATCGTGTGATCACTGGTACACAGCATGTTCACCAGCACCATTGTGTGATCACTGGCACACAGCATGTTCACCAGTACCATCGTGTGATCACTGGTACATTAAATGTTCACCTGCACCATCATGTGATCACTGGTACCCAGTACGTTCACTGACACCATCATGTGATCATTGGTACCCAGTACGTTCACCGACACCATCATCTGATCACTGGTACACAGTTTGTCTATATAATAACCTACTCTGTTCCTGTTTAAGATGGTCAGTAACCTCAGAGATGATGGTAATCCTGGTCCATTTCACCTGGAAAATAACCTCTGGGAGCTGAGCTATAGAGTAAAAGCTGAATGATTGATGTCCATTCTGTCTTCTAGTGGGACTATCAGGACAATAATGATCACTGCTCTCCCATGCCACCTCAACATCCACCCTAAAAGCATCACCGGTTTGTCTTCTCCTTGCTGGTTTCCAGCACCTCTCCTTTCCCTCTCAGACTTGCTAAATGACCTCACCTCACGCTCCCAGCAGCAGCTTTGGGTCATCCATCAAGTCAATAACAGAGACGGATGCAGTGTACTTCTTGGCCTTCACACGCACCGCTGGATGCTCAGTATGGTTGGACTGGACTGGTGGTAGAGAGGGAGGGGCGGGGCAGGCAGGGGGCAGCCATCGCCGGCCTGACAGCACCGCGGTCGGCTTGGCCGCACCTGCAGTTCACACCAGGACTCATGCGAGGACTCGCCAGAGCTGTGATGGATGGCTTTGTGGCTAAAAAGCGGGACGACTCCCCCAGTATCAGCAAAGGGAAAATAAATGACATATCAAGAACCCATGGACCAGGCTGCAGCCCACCATGCAGTTTCATAAAAGCTGACTGGCAGCACTGGGGCAGAGACTTATGAAGAGAAGATATATTCCACAAGCAGTAAATACTGTTTTTACCGCTCTTTTCTCTTTTTCAGCTCAATTTGCAGCTATGACCCTCTTTATCCATTGACCCAAATTTGTTTCCCTCATTCAACAAAAGCTGAAGCAGGTGATTAAGCCAAAACATAAAATGAACAAGGCTGTTCCTGCGATGCACTGCCTAACTCCACTGTGACAATCAACTAAGTCCGGGTTGATTACACTGTAACAAGGCTGGTGTTCCTGAAGATACAGGCTGTCCCACAGCTGACATGCTCGCTCAGCGTTTGAAACAGGAGCGACAAGCCAGGATTTTTGTGATTTTTAATTAAAGCTGACTCCACTGCATCATTTTCCATCAGAAACAGAGGGACCGACTTATCAAAGCATATTCACTAATGCACTGAACTAGGACAGCAGGTGACATAACAGCTAACGAGGATACTGCTTATAATCCCACGAGGGAGCCTCTGTTGTGCCCTGAATTTTGCCAGTAACTTATCTAAGTAAGCAGGAAGCCTTGATGTCTAAATTGGCCAGTGCCAGGCCCCCTAAGGGGGTGAAGTGTGGCTCAGCATGTCAGGCCTGTGATCAGTTTGCCAGTTCAAATCCCCTCCTCAGCAGAATGGTCACATGTTCACTGGGCATTTGCACATGACCCCTAACCCCCCAAAATGCTCCAGGCTATATAAATAGCCTGATCCTGTACTCGAAACACCAATCTGTGTTTTCAACTGTATAAACGTCTTTGTATCTTAAAAGGAGAGAAGATAGGATATGTGAAAGGAATCATTCCAAAGTACCTGTACTCATATTCAAGTACTTGTACTCATACTCATGTTACTCATTTCATCAGTAAGTGTCATTGTTCTGTCCCTGAGCTCTACTCCAGGTGCTCCACTGTGATATCCCTCTAACAATATCCCTCTAAAACCAGACCCCAGCAACCCAGGACAGGCTCAGACAACGGCATAGGAGAGAGTTAGATACTGGGGGGAAAACTACTTAATTATTTAAATGTAAAGCACACACCCAACACGCGTGGCCGCTAGGACAGGCACGCTAAGCACACACCCAACACGC